GGGGCTGGGAAGAGAAAGGCCCGGCAGGCTCTGGTCCTGAGATTTCATAATAATCGTTTGTTTTCTGGCGTCAATCTTAACAGCTTTAGTTTCTCCACGTCCCCGGCCACTGTGCACGAGTGCGTGGCCGACCTGCGCAGGAGGGGTGTGGCACTGCACAGCCATGGGAACAAAGTGACCCAGTGCTAGCTAGATTCACTGTCCAGGGCTTCCCTCCAAATCATCAGGGACTAGCGGGCTTAAAACAGTAAAAGTGTGCGCGCTCACTGCTCCGGAGGCCGAAAAGTCAGCAGGCAGGGTGTCAGCAGGGCCTTGTGCCTTCTGAAGGCTCTAGAGAAGGATCATCTGTCACCTAGTCCAGCTTCTGGGGTGGCTGGCAGTCCCGGGCATCTCGGACTCTTGGCTGTGCTACTCCAGTCCCTGCGTCTGTTGTCACACAGCCTTTCCTGTGTGTGTGTCTGGGGGTCTCCAGATGTCTGTCTTTATGAAATCCAGCCACTGGGTCTGAGGCCCATCCTAATTCAGTATGAATGCATCCCAACTTGATTACATCTGCAAAGACCATATTTCTGGCCACATTCACAGATGTCACGGACTTCAACGTGGTTTTTTGGGGATCACGATTCAACCCCTGACACCAACATTTGCAGGTGTGTTTTTTCTTTCTTCCTGGTCATGTAGGGAATGAACTACAGAATTGGGGAATGCAATATACATGCATGCCCAATACCTAACGTAGACTCCTGGACACCCCTGGGCTGTGTTCATGCTCACCCACCATTGTTGCGAATGTGATTTTCTTTGAGATTGAACTTTCTCACAGCCAAAAAAGATGCCCCAGGGTTGTGGAAATAGAACAGAAAGCCAGTTTTCAGCATTGGAGGGAACACTTGAGGGTCCAGGATGGCATGAGATCTTGCCTGGCTCTGGACTAACTAAGGGGTTGAGAGCAGATTTAATGACTGGTCCGTGATGCTCTGTCAACCATGGGGCCCTTGTGCATCTCCTGGCTATTTGGAACACTCCAGTATCTCCAAGGCACTGTGTGCCTTTGGAAGCTTTGTGGCCGGAAGCCCTAGTTGCCTCATACCAGAAACACTTTTCTAAGCAAGGAACTGAAGCTATGTGAAGAAGAAAGATGGTGCTCTTAATGCATCCTGGAGAGGTTTGGAAAATATTGTGTATCCAGAAGCAGCTCTGTGCATGTGGGCTGCAGCCCTGGGAGCTTTTTCCTTTGTTTTGTTGCTGTTGTTTTTTCCTTCTCTGGCAGATGTTTGTATGGAAATGTGATCTTTAATTCCTTAAAGTCCTATCTCTCTGGAATTCCTCTTTTGAAGTTACAATCTTTTATGTAATGCTTTCTGATCACCTTGACTCCAAGTCAAGTGTTAAGTGTCACAGAGGGGAAAATCATGTGGGCTTTCTGCATGCAGTTTGGGCATACAAGAAATAACTACAGCGTTTGGAGGGGAACACATGGAGGTAGCCAGTTTCCGAAGTCCTCTGGAAATGGAATGTGGCTGTCTTCTGTCCTTGAAAACTACCATCTGATTTAATTCTTTCACAAATACAGAAGCCCTTGAAGAAGGCAAACGAATATGATTTTCTTGGGCGTCACCATGATGATGGATATTTCCCCATTACTTACAAAGAAGAAAGCTGCAAATTCACAGGAATCCTCCAGGTTTGGGACACAGCAGCTGGTCACGATGGGCTTCTCTTTAGGTTCACACTGCTCAGAGTTGCTCGTGGAGGAGACAGAAGGCAAGAGCTTGCCACTTGTTGATATTTGCCTGCTCTGGCTAAAGCCTGAAGCCCCTCCTGGATTTGGAGCTACTTCGGGAAACACATTGGATGTGTTCTTGGGAGCTCTGTTGGCTATTTCCAGCTCCCCAGGGCTTGACAGCCACAGACTTGTGTCGAACTGCTGGCGGGTCTCTGCTCTGGATTCCTCCTCTGAACCCTGCATAACGTGGGAGTCCACAGGATGGTTCCACCCAGAAATGGAAGGGAAGTACCCAAAGATGCCGTGTTCTTATCTCCTCCCTGCTCTGGCTGCTTGAGAATGGCCAACCGGAAAAGGACTAGCCCTACTGGATTGGTGGGAAACATTCCATATTCATAGTTGTTAAACTTGACCTGTGCAGTAGAATAACGTTTTTCTGAATGAGACTCAGGCTGTCAGCCTCTTCTCGACCTAAATGGTGAGGACCACACAGATGAGCACTCGTTTAGAGAACAGTGCAGCCCATCTGCTAATAGGCACGTTGTGGTTGGAACTTTGGAAAGAATAATTTCCCATGCATTTATGTTCTCTCGTTTTCTTGTTCTATTGGAAATGTCCAAACAAATTCAGTGTGTAGGAAGGAAGCACACGTTAGCACTAAGTAATGAAGAAAACGCACTTAACACTAAGCCATTTGAGTTTGTTCGATAACATTCCTTCTTCTGTGTTGCAGGAGACTTGGATGTTGAGCGCCTCGAGGAATGAGTAGTTCCAGGCTTTTCTCCTGGGTGGATGGCAGGGGTTGGTGGGGCTTATTTGGAGAACCTCTGTCCTTCCATCTGGGAAGGCGCTCAGGCTGAGCAGAGCAGGAGAATGACGCACCGGCAGCTCTGATGTCAGGGTGGTTGTGATGGGTCACCCTCTGGCCCCACCCATTCCCAGCCTGGTCACCTGCAGGCCAGGCTGGAAAGCCACTCTAGGGAATGTGGATGAAGGCTGACTGCTTGGTGTCCAGGAAGTCCGTGGATACCCAGGCAAACCCACAGGGGCAGACTCTTCTAGTAAGTCTTAGAGAAGGGCAAAGCATCAGGGCACATGGTGCTTAAGAGCATGGCTTCAGATCCCCGACTGGTCTCACCTGCTAGTGTGTCCCCTTTGGCATGTCACTTAACTTGCTTTCATCAGTTGAAGCATTTAGAATTGGGCATCTGATGGATCCTTTGCATTGACTATTACTATGTCTGCGTAAGTAAACGTACACAGGCATTACAGTGTCTAAATCTGCTGCTGGTCGCCCTGAGAGCCCGAGGAGGCTGGCTGGTGTTTAACAAGGTGGTGTGCTTATGATTTATTTAGCTCTTGCCCGTTGAGGCCTTAGTGGCCCACTCTGGATGTGGCACTCATGTCCTTGCAGCAGTGACAGGGTTTGGGTCTGTGGTATCTGAAGAGAAGCCTGTCCCTCGAGAGGGGAGAGACAGCTCTGTGTGTCGTCCCTCAGCTGCTGTTGGAGCATACCTTTGACGTCTTAGCAGGCCTGCGTATTTTAGCACAGGGGTCTGAAGAGGTTCGGAATCCAGGAGCCATGCTGGTAAAACTTCCCTCAACTCAAGAAGGCGGTTCCCAGTAAAACTAGTTAATATTTATTGAGTGTCATTATTTGCCAGGCATTGCTCTGAGGGCTTTCCCAGTATAGACTTTTTTACTCTTCACAGCATTCCTATAGGCTAGTTAGTAATTTTATCCTGTCCTTTTGGTTGAGGAAACTGAGGCTCAGAAGAGTTAGTAAGAGGTGCAAGGTCATACAGAGATAACACAGCTGATATTTGAGGCTGGGACCTGTTAACCACTCTTGACATGAATCACTGTGGGATGACCAGTTAGCCCTGGTCCTGCCTTCCCAGTGACGGGGACTCAGGGCCTGCTCTGAAGCACAGCATTGCCCACACTGTTTATGGAGGGGTTGCCATGTGCCCCACCCTTGGACTCACCCTCTGGAAGAGGAGGGAGGCAGTGGTGAGCAGCCCTTTGTGATTGGTGTCCTCCTGGCAGTGGAAATAAAGAGCCAGAGAGAAAGGATCCAAAAAGGGAATGAGTAACTTGGTGAAGGGGGAGGAAATGCTTCCTGGGGCCATGACTTCTGAGCTAGGTTTGGAGGAATAAATAGGAATTCACTAAGCATACTAAGTTGGGCACGGCAGGCAGCAGGGTCTTTTAAAGGTGGGGGACAGCAAGTCCTTTAGCATGGATGGATGAATGATAGAGTGGCTGGGGTGGGTGGGTGGGGGGGTTGTCCTGTTCGTTGAGACCGGAGAAGCAGAAAGAGCCAGAAGACAGAGGGCCTGCTTTGCTGTGCCAAGGAACCCAACTTTATACTGGGCAGGTAGACAATTTAATATCATAGTTGTAAAAATAAGGTCACAATCTCCAAACCTTGATGCAGTTAGTAGTAGTAGGTTTTTTTTACCTCTGATTTTATCATCATGATTATTGAAGAAAAATCTGATGTGTATTGCTACTGTGTTAAAGAATGTTGGGTTTTTAATCTCCTCCACTTGTTTCTCATTTTTTTTTTATCAGCAGTTCTCTTTGGCAAAAGTTATTTTCATATGCCAGGATAAGTACTTTTGAGAGGTTTTTTTTTTTTTTTTTTTTTTTTTTAATGTTTTCTTAAGTGGCCTTTGATTGCATAAGAGCATCATGCAGAACTGTTTCCAGTAGTATCTTTATAGCAGGAATGAAGGCTAAGACTGATTATGTAATTGTTCCCTTAATTTATTCTCAGAACCTAACATGCTGCCAGCATATAAAAAAAAAACCCCAGCGATCACAATGGCATCTGAGTGTCTCTTGCTCACGGTTTCTGGCACTATTGCTTTTGCATCGTTCACTGCAGAGGAGAAATGGATGGTTCCAGTGTGGCATGACTGTTGGCAGCACTGGGCGCCCCAGACTCATGGCTCTGTCTGTCCATCCTGCTGTGCAACCCACAGCCGACAACTCTCGCTAGAGAGGATTTGTGTGTACTCCTTAGAGACCCTCGCCAGCGTCTGGCATGTTAACCTTTGGGTAAGGAGAGGCGGCGGACTTCTGCTGCGCTGAGGTTGCATTTTGCAAGGAGCACAGAATACCATCTGTCAGAGGAGGCGCGGGAGTGTGCAAATATTGCTGTGAATTCCATGAATGCTTAATTGCTACAGTTGTTTCTTTTTTTTTTAATTTAACAGTCTTTGCATTTAGTTTGTTTGTTGTTTGTTCTTTTTTTTTTATTTTTTAGAATAGTCCTTATCAGTGGCAGAAGATCCTTCTGTAGTATATTTTCAGTGCTGCCCTATCGTGACAGTGCCCAAGTTGGGTATGTATCTGCATGCTTGCTTTATAGTTCTCTGGGTGAAAAGTTGTGACACCATGTGCGTAATGTGGTTGGCCTTCCCATTTCAAAGAACTTGTCTTGCTTTGACACTGCAGATTCAGTACTTGTAAATTTGAAAGAAAGAAAGCTCCACTTTCTTTTCAGCCAGAAAGCTTCCTTGTTATTTTGTGTGTGTGTGTGTGTGTGTGTCTGTCCTCACCATGTGGCCTACTGTTTCCAAATGTGCATTTTGTCACCTCTTCCAATACTGTAAAGCAAGAGCAATCCGGGGACCCACCCCATTCCTCAGGGCCATGTCGACTTTTGGAGAAAGGTAGGTGAAGAAAGGAATCAAAACAAACCATGTGAACGTCCTGCCTCTCGCATCTTGGGCTTCGGGCTGGAAACTGACCAGCAAGCTGGAGCAAATAACAAAGCAAAATGGTACCAGGAACAGACCTATGTGATTCACCACAGGCCAAAGCAACGCTTACTTCTCTAGCTCAACAAGCCCTTCCTTTTGCTCTGAAGAAAAGTAGGTAAGTGAGGCTCTGTCCTTGCAGAGCCTCCCCTTTACTCCCCATGCCAAACTCTGTGCTCATCTCCTCTGAGTCTTTGCAGCCTTGCCCCTCACCTGTCACTGCATCCGGTGTTTGTTGTCAGGGACCTGCTGGTATTTAGGGTAGGACAGCTCACCCCATAGGATGCCAGGAATCTTGCGGGATGTAGGCTCTGGCCTCTACAAACGAAATGCTGGAATTGCCCCCTAGACACTGTGACAATGACACACTACCCACTCATGACCATCGCCCCAAGGGAGGGCAGTGTGGCCCCTGGTGCTGATTAACCATTTATTCATCTTCCACCATATTGCACGAGCTCTCCCCTGGTCATGCCTGTTCACCATGGCTTTCCCTCCCCCCACCGTAGACCTGTCAGACTCGCACCCGTTCAACTCACCATGGTCCTTATTTGTACTGTACACCGTAAGCTTCATCGAACAGAAAGTAGCACATCTTCTTCTTCATGGAATTCTGACTCAGTCATTTATTAGACGTGTGCCTTAAAGAGTAGCAGTAATCTTACTGTTGATTGAGCACGCACTTTGTGCCGGTCCTTTTCACTCCCTGCAACTTTACAACAGCCTTGCAAAGTAGGTGTTCTCGAAAAAGTAACAGCAAACCCTTCAGGTTAGGGGTTCAATGATCACCTGGGCGTGGCCGGCAGAGCTGCCCGCAAGAGACCTCATGAGGAGGCTTGCGTGACCTTACCAACCTGCTGTGGTCCCAGGATTGGCTGCACCTGAGAGCAGGCTTATTCCCTGTGGACACTAGGTGGTACCAGCTCACAGACCTCTGCGTGACCCAGAAGGCCGGTTCATTAATCTTACACAAATAATCGCCCCAGGGCCCAGATTATTTCAGTGTGACCAGCCTGTGAGCACATTTCCAGGGAGATCTGAATCAGCCATGGAAGGCTGTGTGCAAGTATGTCCTCTCATGGCCAGCTTGGATGGCCACTGTGGGGTTGGCCTTATTTTTCTATTTTTCTGGGCTTCCCTTGCTGACCTTTCTGATTGATGTATTCTTTCTTTGGCCATGGTCCATTTATTCATTTATTGAGTCCTTTTATGTGACTAGGTGCTGGGATAAAGATGGGCCTGGTTCCTGTCTCCTGGAACTTAAAACCAAGAAGGGGAGACATGTTAAAATTTCACATACAACTAATTACCACTTTTAATTAAGGCTAAAGATGTTCGGTCAGGTCAGGTGACTGCCAGCTCTTCCTGGCTGAGAACTCATTCGGTTTCTGTAACGTAATCTGACTTCTCTGTGCTTTTGTCTTAGAACTGTTCATGTTTGTTTCATTCTGGAATGGTGCCTTTATTTCCAAGTTCTGGGGCCCCCTCACTATGGTACCCAAGTACTTATCCCCATTTTATAGATAGGACCACTGATCCTCAAGAGTTATGGTCTCAAACATCAGCTTTGGACCAGAATGGGAATTTGAACACAAGTCTGTCCAGCCCTGGGACTTTCCATGACTCACTCTGGCCAATAGGCGAAACAAGTTCCATATCCAAAGCCATCTGTGAAATGGAGCTTTTATGATAACTGCCTCGCAGAGGTGAACTAAGACTCACAGGGTGACTGACTATACGAGGTCCAGCACAGCACCTCGCACAGAGGTAGATGGGGCCAACTTGTCAAGGACCCCAAATTTCTTTTTTTTCTTTTCTTAAGATTTTATTTATTTGACAGAGAGAGACACAGCGAGAGCGGGAACACAAGCAGGGGGAGTGGGAGAGAGAGAAGCAGGCTTCCCGCAGAGCAGGGAGCCCGACGCGGGGCTCGATCCCAGGACCCCGGGATCATGACCTGAGCCAAAGGCAGATGCTTAACGACTGAGCCACCCAGGCGCCCCAAGGATCCCAAATTTCTTAAGTAAACGCAATGTGGGGATCGCTGAGGAGAACTTGTGAGACTTGTAGTTTTCTGCTCGGGCGAATCACTCGCCTCTGTGAGCCTCTACTTTTGTTCCTCTGTAGGATGGGGATTGCAAGTTACTACCGGTGTCGTTTACTTTGAAGATCACTGCATTTTACGCGGAGCTCATGGGAACACATTTTAACTTAAACTGCCCAGGAAGAGATCACCCGGACTATCTTTGTTTGATATCCTTATTAGAAATGCGTGGTCCTCCCCATCTTTGACATCTGGAGGAAATGCTAGCTGGCCACCAGGGTGCGGGGAGAGGGGTGGCCGTCGCTGCCTGGGTCTCCTTGACTCCCGCTGGGAGGGCCTCGTGTGTTACAGGGGCGATGGCACAGGGTGGCCGGCTCGCTCAGCTCTCCTGCTGCTTGCCCCAGAGGAAGCAGCAAAGTGTGTTTAGGGGGATCACAGGGCATAAACTTTAGATCTTTGACATGAATAAACTCTCCTCCTTCAAACTTTACAAATGAGGAAACCAGGGTGCAGTAAGGTTAATTTTCTGTAACAAAAAAACACCGGGTCCTTTGTAATGCCTGACAGAGAAAAGAATATGCCTGTTTCTGTAGCATATTCTGCTTAAGAACTCACACAAGAAACTACGAACACCATTCAAAATATTGTAATTTAGCAGCAGGATGAAGAAGCAGTTCTGCTTTGTAAATTTTTTGATGAGTAGACATCCTATTCATGAATAACTGCCACTTAGGATTGTTTTTATTAAGTATTGGGAAATCACTATACTCAAGTAATGAAAGTATTTATACTGGTAAATTATATACATACATACTTTACGGTACTTTAGTTCATGCCTGTATTAACTAATACCTTTCTGCTGGAGTTCTCGGTGTGACTAGGACACAAATCCTAGCATTGTAGGGGTGGGAAGGATTTCAGAGATGACGTGGCCTGGCCTCCTTGCTTCATAGCTGGGGCCCCTCGGGCACAGGGGTGGACGCCCAGCAGAACCGTTGCTCCAGAACCCAGTACTCCAGCCACCTTAGCCCGTTGACTTTGTGGTTTCTGGTCGCCATTTTTCTGTTGTGTTTATGCACGTGGACTGAGCCACAGGCGCCTGATTATTCCAGACAAGCGTAAACCCCCCTGCTAAAAGGAATGGTGTCCAGCTCCAACTTCATCATAAGGAAGTTTTAAAAACAGGAAACTCAGAAGTTCATCCAGTGTGTACTTGAACCTCTTTTACGAGGAAAGCATCTATCAGGATGGCCTTATCTCTTTCCGGCTCTGTTTTCTGGCTTCTCCTGCTGCGCTGGAGCTTCCCAAGTCTGGCTCTCACGTCTTGGCTGGCCCTGACCCCAAAGCTTTGTTCTTGGTTTTAAACTGAACTGAGCACTTACTTTGGCTCCTGACATCAGTTGACCACAGCAGACAGGCCAGTCTCAGGAGAGGTTTTACTATTTATTCGTTCACTTACTCATGTGTTTCTTCTGCCCCTATGGGTACAAGGCCTTGATGGAGGCTGGGAGGGTATAGGGATGAGTAAGACCCACTCTTCAGGAGCTTATTATCGAGCTGGAAGCCAGACATGTAAACAACCAAACCAGCACAACTTGGGAGTCCCAGAGAAGTGCTATGAAGTGCTTTAACTGCCCCCAGATCTTTATCAACGCCCACATTTATATTGTATCTGCTATTGGCAGTAAAAGCCAAGAGCTTGCTGTGTAAGTCTCCATCCCCTCCCAAGGATATTGCCACCCCTGCCTGCCTCCTGAGTAGAAATTCAGGCACTACTACCGCATAGCAGGATTCACTCATTCGCCCCACAGACCCTTTCAAACCTACTATGTGCCAGGCACTGTTCTAAGCAGTAGGCATACAGTGGTGAACGTGAAAATGTCTCTTGACTCGTCACCCTCTGAGGGTAGGAGACAACGAACCAGCTAGTGAAGACACTGACCATCAGATGCAAGAACAAACAATGAAGTGAGTCCTCAGCAGTGTGCAACTGGAGCACAGAGGAAGGTGCTCAGGGAACTCAGGGATCAGGGAGTGCTCCCCAGAGACAGCAACTCTTAATCAAGACTTCGAAGTATGAGGTCTTGGAGAAGCGGAGAAGGATTTTCCAGCCTCACCGTTGACTTCTGAGGATATAAGGTGGTCTGGCCCCTTGGGAACTTCTTGGGGGTGGGGTGGGGTGGGGATTCTCTGTAACGCCTGGCACGTTGAGAGAATTGGGTAGAGCACCATCCCCGCGGGACCCCCGTTGCTGACCCACACTGCAGCAGTTTGCCTTAGGTAGTGAGGGGAGGGGGTAGAGACAGAAGTGAGCTGTCCTGGATGTCACGGCCACAGGCCCATCACTCAGCCTGCCCCAGGTCTCAGTTCGTACAGTGTGGAGGTTTGACTAGACTCTCCAAAGATCCTGCACACTCCATTCTCATCCTTGTCAATTTTGCTAATGTGGAAGCTGTTAAGTCTGGTTGAATGAGGAGTTTATGAATGAGGCATGCTGTTCACACTTTCCATCCACCGACAATCAGCTGCTTTTAGAGC